TCCGGCGGAGTCTCCCTCCCACGGGGCTGGACGTGGGTCCGGCTGAGTCTGCCTCCCACGGGGCTGGACGTGGGTCCGGCGGAGTCTGCCTCCCATGGGGATGGACGTGGGTCCGGCTGAGTCTGCCTCCCACGGGGCTGGACGTGGGTCCGGCTGAGTCTGCCTCCCATGGGGATGGACGTGGGTCCGGCCGAGTCTGCTTCCCATGGGGATGGACGTGGGTTTCCTCTGAATCATTGTTCTGAGGAGCCCTGTCCCTGGGTGTGGGCTGGGAGGTGTCCCCATACCGGTGCCTGGGGCCACTGTGGTCCGCTGTTCCTGGCAGGTGGGCTGGGCGGACGTTCAGCTCCTTACACTTCTCCTTCCTGACAGATGCGCAGCCCAAGAAGGTCCGGAAGGTTCCGCCAGGGCTCCCATCCTCAGTGAGTTATGGGGCAGAGAACAGGGCACATGTAAGCTGAGTGCTGTCACCCCATCCCCCACTAGATGACACATTGGGTTGGGGCACCAGCCTTTGTACGACCACCTGATGTGGGCAGACCCCTCAGGAGTCCTGAGCCAAAGTGACCATGGGCTTGGCTGCCCGAGGCCCTGCCTCTGAGGGGACAGTCAGGAAAGTCCTTCATTATGTCTAGCCTTGATCCCTCTTGTTTTAACACAGAGTTACTTTCCGTGTCCACAGCCTCCTTAGAAAGGGTGGGATTGGGGGTCCCATGAGGAGGTGCAGGGAGGGGCTGCCTTGGGGGCCCTCACCCCAGCCCTCACAGGGTCACCCAGGTAATGGCCACCTTGCCCACTCTGAGGATGGGGGGGCTCCTGGCTGTCCCCCACCCTGGCTGCCTGGGTTCCCATGCTGGCTGCCCCCACCCTGTTGGTGGCGGTACTGTCACAGTCTCTGAAGTCACCCTCTTGTGCTTTAATCACGGTACAAGGAAGGCAGCTTGCTGGTCCCCCAGGGGGCGTGGCTCCCACTGCCCTCTGCCTGGTTCCCCACACTGCCCCCATGGCCCCTGGGCCCCAGGCTGACCACACTCGGGCTGGCCCAGAACCCAGGATCAATGTCTGGCAGGGTCAAGCTGCTCGCTGGGGTTGTGGGGCCGGCTGGGAGGCATTGAGTCGGGCCAGGTCCTTCAGAGCTTCCCCTCGGGGGGTGCTGCGTGCTCCCCACTGCCCGAGCTCCACTCTCCGCACTGAGCCCCTGCTCAGGTTTCAGGGCGGAGCACCCGGGCTTGTCTCATCCCATCCTGCACTGGGCAGCAGACCCACCTTCTCCATGTCAGTGTCAGGGGCCGGCACTGCCGGCTGCTCCCAGCCTTTCCCACTGGGCACACACAGCGACCACAGCCCCTTGGTTGTTGCTGACCTGGGGCAGGCACAGCCAGGCGTTAATCGGGGCTCTTCCCCTGAGCCCCATGGTCTTGTGTAGTCAGAGCTGGGCTGAAGAAGAGCCCAGAGGAGAAACGAGGAAGGAGAGACAAGGGCCTTGAGGTTGGGGTTTTGATAGGTCAGTAGGAGTTTGCTGGATACGGGAGATAAAAGGCACAGGTACAAAGGCCTGAGGTATGAGAGAAAGGAGCATTTTAGAGGGAGAGGGGCAAAAGGTGGGAGTTGGAGAAGAAGCAGTGCGGAGGGATGGTGAACGCTGGGCCACGGGACTGGGCTTTATTTGAGAGGGAGAATTTAGAGCGGGACAAGGGGGGCCGCTAGGGGGCTGCTGCCTAGGAGGGCCACGGCCGGGAGTGGGCCCAGCGTGAGGTCGAGGGCCCTCTCCCTGACATGTTCTGTCCCCTTCCAGGTGTACCCACCCAGCTCAGGTGATGACTATGGCAGAGACACCACCACCTACCCAGCTACCAAGACCCCCAGCAGCGCCTACCCTGCCCCCTTCTACATGGCTGGTGTGTGGGGGGCCTTGCCTGGGACTTGGGGGCAGGCCTGGGTCCCCCACCTGCTGCTCACTGTTTTCCTCTCTGCAGATGGCAGCCTGCACCCCTCAGCCGAACTCTGGGCCCCCCCAGGCCAGGCGGGCTTCGGGCCCATGCTAGGCGGGGGCTCGTCCCCCCTGCCCCTCCCACCTGGGAGTGGTGCCAGCTCCTCCGGCAGTGGTGGTGGCGCGTTTGGCGGCCTGCAGCAGCACGAGCGCATGGTAGGGCCCAGAGTGGGTGTGGTGGGTGAGTGGGCACACCCTCTGGCCCTGTGCCCCCCGACCCCTTCCTCTTTCCTCATACAGGGCTACCCGCTGCACGGAGCTGAGGTGAACGGCGGCCTGCCTGCTGTGTCCAGCTTCTCCTCGGCCCCTGGGGCTACCTACAGCAGCGTCACCAGCCACACACCCCCCGTCAGCGGGGCTGACAGCCTCCTGGGTGCGGGTCTCTCCCTGGGCGGACCCCCTCCCCGGAGGACTGTGAAGGGCTGGGGGGTAATGGGGGAACCTTGGGACCCCAGGAGTCAGGTGGGTTGTTAATATCTGCAGCTCCTGGCCCTCCCTGTGCCCTCGTACCAGGCCCAGGGTGTCAGAGAATGACACTCTGAGTGAGCTTTGTAGCTGGGGACACTGAGGCTGGGAAAGGGGGCTTGCCTGCTGAGGGTCCCACCGTGGCCGTCTGTGGAGACAGGTAGCTAGGAGGCAGGCGGGACCATCAGTCAGAAGTCAGCTGTCTGCAGACCGAGCGCCGTGTCAGTGGGGCACACAGGCTGCTGTGTGACCCTGAGGTCCAGCCTCACCTCTCTCCACCCCTAGGCTCCCGTGGGACCACAGCCGGCAGCTCCGGGGATGCTCTCGGGAAGGCACTGGCCTCGGTGAGGCGCGGGGTGCAGGGTGTGGGGCTGGGGCCCAGGGACCCTGCCAGACCAGCCCTTGACAGCCTGACTGCCCCTCCTCGTCCCCATTGCAGATCTACTCCCCGGATCACTCAAGCAACAACTTTTCATCCAGCCCTTCGACCCCCGTGGGCTCTCCGCAGGGCTTAGCAGGTCTGTGAGGGGATGGTAGCCGAGGCGGGGGATGGGTATCTGGAGCCTACAGCCTGGGCCAGCTGGGAGAGAGCTCTCCGAGTCCAGGCACACTGGGAGTCACCACTGAGAGAAGCCCATACCACTGCCACCACCCTTCGGGGAACTAGTGCCCCAGAGCCATCCAAGAGGGCTCCCTGGAGGAGGTGGCCTCTGGGCCCATCCTAGAATGCTATGGCCAGGCAGTGAGAAGGGCTGGGAGGCGTGTCCCAGTCCCCTCACAGCACAGGCAGAGCCCAGAGGAGGACCCAACCGCTCACGTTTTGTGAACCCCGCAGAGCTAATTGGGGGCGGTGGGGTGAGGATTGGATAGGGGGTGTGGGCTGGAGAGGGGGGTAGAATAGAGGCCAGCTGAGAGTACCACCTTGGCACTTACCTCACGTAGTATGTGCTGTTAGGTGTTTGTGCTGTGGTGTTAATTAGGCACTGACTGCATACCCTGTACTTGGTTCTGGCAAGGGGACCGGACAACCTGTTCCCGACAGGGACACCCCTGTAATCAGCTAAGAGTGATAGGAAAGTAAGATGCTCTGGAAGGCTTGGGCTGTTGAGTTAAAAATACCCCTGGGTCCCCCACCTCTGTCCTGGGGCATGTCCAGTCCCTCCCAGAACTAACCACTTCCCCGCCTGCTGTAGGCAGTCAGAGCAGGTCTGCAGAGATAGGCCGGGGCTGGTCCTGGGGTGCCTGCTGGATGCACCGAGTTGCCTGGCCCTCTGCTGGGGGCCTTGCAGGTGGCGACACTGAGGCTCAGAGATGTGAGCTGGCCTCCTGAGCTCTGTCAGCCTAGGGGAAGGAGGGATGTGAACCCAGGGCCCAGCCCTCTGGGCCCCGTCGCCCCATCCTAGGGCCCTGACAACAGCTTTGCAGGTGCCAGGCGCCCCCGCGTGGCCACACCACGTATTACGGCCCCTCGGGCTCCCCACCTGTCCTGCCCCACAGATTGCCTTGCTTGCCTCCCTTTCTGCCTGGGGACATGACCACGTTCCGCCTGCCCTCAGTGAGGGGCCAAAGGCAATCAGTGCCAGCCTCAGCCTGCTGGCCTCTGCCCCTTGTCCCCCGATTGATGCACCCCCTACCCTGCAGGGAGTTCCCAGTGGCCCCGAGCGGGAGCCCCCGGTGCCTTGTCACCCAGCTATGATGGGGGTCTACATGGCCTGGTGAGTTCTGCCCCCCTCCCCATTCCTCCTCAGATCAGGGCGTAGTTCCTGGTGGGTGTGGCTGGAAAGGTGTGCCCGTGGGGGTTGTCCAGGACTTGTGGGAGTGCCCTGTGTGTGACCAGACACATGGACATGGTTCCTGGTGCAGACGTGGGACTCGTGGATGGAGGTGGCCACACTTATGTGACTTTAATACTGTGTCATGGAAAGTATTCATTGGGTCTTGTTGGACAGACAGAATTTTGCAGTAAGATAGACATTTTTGGTTAGAAAAATTTTCATTAAGAGTTTGTGGCTGGTCAGTGCCAGGGCCCTGTGGCTGGCAAACACTTTGAGCCAGGCCACGTTTCTGGAGCGGCAGTGTACTGCGTCTGCTCGCCCTTGCATACGGGGGGCCACGTGGCTGCAGGCTGCAGCGTGGGCGTGCTGGCCCAGGCCCTGGCTGCAGTCCTCACTGGCCCTCCCCGCAGCAGAGCAAGCTGGAGGACCACTTGGACGAGGCCATCCACGTGCTGCGCAGCCATGCCGTGGGCACAGCCAGTGACGTCCACGGGGTGCTGCCCAGCCCTGGTGCTCTGGCATCAGGCTTCACTGGCCCCATCATGCCACTGGGCAGCCGGCACACCAGCCTGGTGAGTGCCGGCAGGGTGCGGGAGGGACAAGGGACGGGGTGCAGGGTGCCCACCCAGTGCTGATGTGCCACCCCACACCCACAGGTCGGAGGCGGTCACACGGATGACGGCCTCTCGGGCAGTGCCAGCCTACTGCACAACCACGTGGCCCTCCCCAGCCAGCCCAGCACGCTCCCGGACCTCTCCCGGCCGCCGCCCGACTCCTACAGTGGTAAGGGCCCAACAGAGGCTGGGCAGGGGTGGCCGGTGTCTGGGGTCACACCTCACCCTGAGCCTCCCCTGTTCTCCGGAAAATGGAGGGTGACAGGGACGAAGGACTGAGAGCCGCCGCACTGGCCCGAAGGCCCGCTCTGCCAGCTGCAGCAGCGTGGGTCACCCAGGGCTCCTCAGCTCCAGGGAGCGCCACGGCGACCCGAGCCGGGACGCCTCAGCCCACGTCTCCACCTCCACGGTGGAGGAAACAGGCATAGTGGGAGTGCAGGCTGGACTTCACGCATCCCTAGCAGGGCTGGTTTTAAATAGTGTGGTTGTGAAGAGGATGGTCAGGGAGGGGAGGGGGCACGTTTGGGTCCTGAGAGGAGGTGAAAGCAGGTGGGTACGTGGGGGAGCCAGGCAGGAGGGGAGGGCAGGGAGGGCGCCCGCAGGCCAGTGTGGCCGTGTGGGTGGGGAGGACTCCGGCTTTTGCCTGAAGGAGGTGGGAGGCCGGCAGAGGAGGGACTGGGTGGCTCGGCGCTCACAGGCGCCCTCTGGTGGTCAAGGGGGGCACCAGGTGGAGGGCACTGTGCTGGTCCAGGGAGCGATGGGGCAGAGGAGGGGCGAGAAATGGGGAATTGAAATCCATCTTTTTTTTTTTTTATCTTATTTTGTCATCGTCAAGAACACACACACCAGAACACACCCATTCAGTGGTGTCTCCTGTCCGTTTCCGGGACACCAGTGACAGTCCCTGAGTTGTGCCTCCTCCCTCACCCTGCTCTCCTCGTTGCCCCTCCCGACGACCTTGCTGCCCCCTAGGCTCTCATCTGACCTCTTGAGTGTCTGTGGTCAGTTTGATCCCTGTAGATCTTAAGTGGACGTGTCTGGAATGATTTGCAGATGGAGACGCAGGGGGAGAAGGAAGGGGTGGAGAGCAGGAAGGCCTGGGCAGCCAGGCCAGCTATGTGCACAGACTCACGGGCAGGTCAGGATGTTGGGACTGTCCCATCTGAGACATGGTCCGAGGGCAGGCCAGGTGTGAGGCTGGTGTCCTGGACAGGCATGTGGGTGCCATTGGCAACGGGTGGGTTTACAGCTGGGAGCCTGGACGAGGCCACCTGCAGACAGAGCAGAGTGGTCTGGGCCTGCACATCCAAGGCCCAGGCAGGTGGGTGAGCAGGGGCCTGAGGCCACGTGGACAGGGCTTCGTGACAGTGAGTGGGAGAGTGAGTGACAGAGCCTGGGGAGGGTTAGTTAGGGTCGGGGTTAGGGCTCGGGATGGGCTTAGGGGCAGGGAGAAGGTCAGGGTTAGGAGGGGGGGTAAGGTTATGATGAGGGTGCCACAGGCATTAGGGCGGACCTCTCACTTGTGCTGAGGGGCTGGGTGGACTCTGCTGGGACTGGCAGAGCTGGAGGGGTCGTGCCATCATCACATCATCAACGTCTCTGTCCTTCCAGTGGCCTAACAGGTCTTCCACGAGGGGAGGGCACAGGGAGGTGCTTGCTGGGGTCTTGATTCTTACTCTTGGTGGGCTGGTCCCGGGAGTGGGTAACAGCAGACGGGCTCCCCGTGAGTGGTGGGCCAGCCTGGGCTCTCCTGCTACTCCTTGGCCAATACCAACTTGGTGAAAAGTGATGTGGGTAAGTGACAACACTGGCACCTGGACAGAGGCCCCTGGGGACCTGCTGCACAGCTCCAACCGGAGCCAGTGCCTCAAGCCTGCCTGGGTCCTCCATCCCAGCCCCACCTGGCGGTCCCTGCCCCGGGAGCCTGGGTCCAACATCCCAGCCCCACCTGGCAGTCCCTGCCCCAGGATTTCTGTGTGTGATCCCCTGGCCTTACCCTTGCATGCACACCACTGCTTTTTACTGTACGATAAGATCCAGATTCAGAAACATAGGTAAACCAAGCACTCAGTTACCTCCGAGGCCAGCACTCTCCTGACATCTGCCTACGTTGGTAACAGTGCCATCCAACTGCCCCAGGAGCCCCGTCATGGCCTCCTGACTGCCCAACTCCACCAGCCTGACTCATGCTGTCACCGTGACCCTGCCTTCCTGATGTCTCCCTAGACCAGTGGTTCTCACCCACGGGCAGCTGTGCCCCTGTGCACACTGGGTGGTGTCGGGCCATTGGTTGTCAGAGTGAGGGGTTGCTCCTGGCACCGCGTCTCTGTCCCTACGCCGTGGTCTGTCTGTTGGAGAGCCAGCCATTCCCATGGTCGGCATCAGCCAGTGCCGTCTCAGCACAGCTGAGGTCAGCTCTGTTCTCTTGAGCACCATGCCTGTTCACGGGGTGAACTGCAAGATGCTGTCCAGTCGGCTCCGACTCGTGACGACCCCACGTGACAAAGTGGAGCTGCCCCGTGGCATTTTCTTGGCTGTCATTGTTAGGGGAGCAGAGCTGGGTGGATCCAAACCACTGGGCTTGTGGTTGGCAGCTGAGCACTTAACTGCTGTGCCACCAGGGCTCCTAGAGCATGAACTTGGTAAAACCCCCACGCTGCAGCCTTTGATGGCCCTTTGTTACTCGCTGTGTGCAGCGTCTCTGTGACCCGCCTGCGTCCACGTGGCTGTTGGTACCTGCTCTCTGTGATGTCTGGCTGACCTGCCCGTGTCAACGTGGCTGAGGTGGTGTCTGCCCGTGAGCTAATCCTGACATGGCCCGCGGTCTCAGCCCGCGTCTGCCGTGGGCTTCCTCTGCGTCTTTGTGATAGGTGCTCCCCGGTGTGTTTTCTCACGTTTCCATGAAGTCGATCCTGACTTGTGGCGACCTGCCTGTCACAGGACAGCTGCCCCATAGGGTTGGCTAGGCTGTCGTCTCTACGGGTGCACACCCCCAGGCCTCTCTGCTGCGAGGCTGCTGGGTGGGTTCAAACTGCTAACCTTTCAGTTAGCACCTGAGCGTTCACCCGCTGTGCCCCCAGGGCCCCTGGCGTTCACCCGCTGTGCCCCCAGGGCCCTTGGCATTCACCCGCTGTGCCATCAGGGCGCCTGGCATTCACCCGCTGTGCCCCCAGGGCCCCTGGCATTCACCCGCTGTGCCCTCAGGCTCCTGGCGTTCACCCACTGTGCCCCCAGGGCTCCTGGCGTTCATCCGCTGTGCCCCCAGAACCCCTGGTGTTCACCCACTGTGCCCCCAGGGCCCCTGGCATTCACCCTCTGTGCCATCAGGGTGCCTGGTGTGATAGTAGTAGGTTGTGGACTTTTAGGCACACTCGTGTCTGCCTTTTCAAGATAAAACCCAGTTGTTTTCCAAAGTGGTTGTACCAACTGACCTTCCCAGGAAAAAAGGACGTTTAAAAATGCCTGGCCTTTCAACTTGGCCACCTAATAGTTTTGGAAAAGGTGCAGCCAGAATGCTCCTTAGAAGCAAGGATGGTGAGACTTCGTCTCACCTACTCTGTCATGTCAGGAGGAACCAGTCCCTGGAGAAGGACATCATGCTCAGTAAAGTGGAGGGTCAGTAAAATGGAGACCTTCAACGAGATGGACTGACACGGCTGCAGCGATGGGCTCAAACACAGCCAGGGTGTGAGGCTGGCGCGGGACGGGGCAGGGTTTCGTCTTGTGTGGGGTCACCGTGCGTTGGAGCCGACTCGGGCACCCCACGACGGCAGTATGAAGTGGTGGGGCGCTGTGGTCCTCCTGGCATTTTCCAGCTGCTGGCCATGACAGCAATTTTTCTGCCTCTCTGGCCTCGTCCCTTCTCGGTCTAGGCAGTGCCCAGTGGGTTGTTGGCCCATTTCCCTATTGAGCTCTCTCTGCTTTTCTTGTTGATTTGTAGGTGCTCTTTATCTATTCTGGATGCTGTTCCTCGGTGGGTCGCCCACACTTCACCTACCTCCTCCCACTCTGTGCTTCATCTTTGCTTTCCCTGTGGGCTCTCCCGATGGTCACAGATTCTCAGGCTTGCTGTGGCTGCCTTATCGGTACCTGTGCCTTCTGAGAACAGCCCTTTCTGTGTTTTAGGGAGTCATTTCCTGCCCGAAGGAAATGTTCTTCAGTTTGTTCTCAAGGTTGCAGAGCCTCCCCTTTCTGTTCAGTCCTTGTCTGTCTGGAACCGACGTCTGTCTGGCGTGGTAAAATTCAGTTCTGGAGAGGGCATGGTGACATTTTTACTGCTATTCTCTGTCATTTCTTTTGGCTACCTGTATATAGCAAAGCACTTGCCACGTCCGCTGGTTTTGCGTGCACAGCCCCGGGGCCTGCCTTGCATCCTCCACGTTGTGCTAGCAGCACCGCTGTCTGCTTCCACATTTTTTTCACCCCTGTAAACACAAACTTGTGGGGCACCAGTGGTTTGGGGATAGACGTCTCCTCTCCCACGTGGGAGACCTGGTTTGACTCCTGCCCAGCGTGCGTCTCATGCGGCCCCCTGTCTGTCACCAGGGCCTCCGTGGTGCCGTGATGCTGACTGAGTTTCAGGGCAGCTTCAGGCCGAGACGGATAAGGCCAAGAGGCCTGGGCTCAGTCAGCCGGTGCGGTCCTGGGGCCACCAGGAGGCGGGGGCCGACTGGACAGCAACCAGCAAGAACCACGTGCCCTATAAGCAGCTGCTGGGTGGTGTCACGTCAGTTCTGACTCCCAGTGCCCTGGAGGACGGAGGAGAACGCCCCGTAGGTTCTCCAGAGCTGACCCCTGTGTGGGAGCAGGTCTCGCCCTCACAGCTGCCGGCCGGGTTCAGACCACTGACCTTTCATTAGTAGCCAAACGCTTAATCATGGGCTACCGCAGCCCCTTCCTTAAGCTTAACTCTCTCAGATTCCAATTTTTTAACAAATGAGTAAAAACATGGTTGTCCCAGGAGAGCTTGGGCCCCTGCCGAGATGGGCCAAGAGGCCCATTGGGCCACATGGAGTGGGTTGCAACTGTGGCCGCCCCTGACCCTGGCCTGTTGCAGGCCTCGGGCGGACGGGCGTGGCCTCGGGCGCCGGGGAGATCAAGCGGGAGGAGAAGGAGGACGAGGAGAACGCATCTGTGGCCGACAACTCAGAGGAGGACAAGAAGGAGCTGAAGCCCTCGCGGACACGGACCAGGTGCCAGCCCCCCAGGCCTGCGGCCCCGCACACCCCGCACACGCACTCAAACGCGCCGGGAGGCAGCCAGGGGCCCCGCGTCACGCCCCGCCACCTCACGCTCTCCCTCTGGCCCCGGCCCCCTCCCCCGTAGCCCAGAGGAGGACGAGGACGACCTCCTCCCCCCCGAACAGAAGGCCGAGCGGGAGAAGGAGCGCCGTGTGGCCAATAACGCGAGGGAGCGGCTGCGGGTGCGCGACATCAATGAGGCCTTTAAGGAGCTGGGTCGTATGTGCCAGCTGCACCTCAACAGTGAGAAGCCCCAGACCAAACTGCTCATCTTGCACCAGGCCGTGTCAGTCATCCTGAACCTGGAGCAGCAAGTGCGAGGTCAGTGGGGGCCGCCCCGCCGCCCCCGCCTCGCCTGTCTCCCTCTGCTCGCGGGAGGCTGCTCTGCCCACTGGCACTCCTCCCCGGGAGGCCCGGAGCCCCGCTTGCTCACGGGGCCAGGAGGCACTCGCCGCTATACATTCTGCCGTGCCTCCATCCAGCTAGACGCCACACTCGGTGGCCTCCAGCCAGCCAGCCCCCCACAGCCCCCGACTCAGTTTCCCCCTCTGCACGGAGGGTTAACATGCCCGTCTCCCTGGGCCACGGGAGGTTGACAGATAACAAAATCACCCCCCAGACTGACTTGGCCTGGCCCACCCTGCCTCCTTCCCAACCCTCTGCTGGCAGCCGCTTCCTTAACGCTTCTCTCTTGCGTGGCCCGTTAACCCTTTCTCTCCTGCAGTGCTGTTGCTTGGACCAGAACTGGGGCCCTGGCCCCCCCGCTGTCCCTTCCTCCGCTCTGAGGTTTTCGTGTCTCCACTGTGGGGTGTGGCATGCCATGCGCCCCCCCACCCGCCTCTCTGCTCTCTGTCTCTTGCACCCCCTCGGCCCCTCCCTACCTCGCACTTGCTGCCTGGCCTCAGGGACCACCCACAGGGGCCGCAGCCTCAGGCCACCCCTCCTCCAGAGCCCCCCACCGGGACTTGGGGGACGGAAGGAATGGGGACGCGATGCACCTGCCTCGGTCTGCACCGGCAGTTTGGTCTGTGCGCTTGTCCAGGGCTCCGGGGCTGGCGCCACCTGGAGGGACCCGCTCTGGCCTGTGGGCAGGGGGTGGGCATGCCCAGGAGTAGGACAGGGCCTGGGCTGGACCCAGCAAGGTTGTCCCATCTCCATGCCCAGCTCAGCCGGGTGTCGCACACATGGGTGGATTCTCGTAACAGCCTGGTGCAGGGGCTACTGTTCCTGGAGCCAGGCCCAGAGCCACAGGCTAGGCAGCCCCGCAGGACTGAGCCGGGAGTTGGACATGAGTACTGGCTGTGCCATCCACAGTGGGAGGGGCGGCTTTGGCTCCCCTGGCATCTCCTGTGGGCCAGGAAGGGCCTCTGGGCTGCAGCTGCCGCTGGGACTATTCTTGGGGGCGAGACACTGGGTCCTGGAAGAGTTTTGGGCCTGGGGCCAGGCCACCCTGCCTTGTCCTGCCGCCCTCCTAGGGGCTGGTGGCCCAGAATTGATCCAGGCGCAGCTCTTAGGGTGCCTAGAGAGCTATATCAGGGCAGACACTTTTCTGGGGATGCTTGCTCTTGGGTACTAGCTGGTTCACTCTTCAAGGCCCAATTTGGAGAGCCCTAGGTGAGAGAGGCCAGTTCTAGCTCCCATCACCCTGCGAGGGGCTGCTCTGCGGGGGAAGGTCATCCTTCCAGAGGGAGAAAGGGACAGAGAGGAGGGGCCCTGGAGCTTTCCAGCCTGCCTGGCCCCACCCTGGAGGTCACCTCCTCCTCAGAACACCCACACCCCCATGCCCATCCTTGGTCTCCTTGACATGGCCAGTCAAGGCCCACACCACATTCCTTGGGAGTATATGCTCCTGGGTGTGTGATGATGAGTGTACACACATCCACTCATGTCCCGACACCTTGTACCCACACTGGTACACCACCCATACCAGCCAGGTACGCCATTACCACCAGCCACGTACCCATACTGGTACGCAGTGTACCCACACTGGTACAGAACCAACCTCACGCACCCGTACTGGTACACCAGCCGCGTACCCACACTGGTACACCTCCCACACCAACTGCATACATACACGGTTAATACCACCCACACCAGCCACGTACCCACACTGGTACATCACCAGTACAAACCACGTACACACGGTTACACATGCCAGCAACCTATGCCCATGCTGGCATGCACGCTGATACACACTGTGTCCCCATCCTGCACGCGCCCCGACTAACGGGCCCGGTGCTGTGCACCCAGCAGTGCGGAGGAGGTGCTGTCCCTGGAGGAGAAAGACCTGAGGGACCGGGAGAGGCGCATGGCCAATAACGCGCGGGAGCGGGTGCGCGTGCGGGACATTAACGAGGCCTTCCGGGAGCTGGGCCGCATGTGCCAGCTGCACCTCAAGTCGGACAAGGCACAGACCAAGCTGCTCATCCTGCAGCAGGCCGTGCAGGTCATCCTGGGCCTGGAGCGGCAGGTGCGAGGTAGGCTTCCCGCCCCCCTGGCCGCGCCGTCTGCTGCCTGGGGCCGCCACCTGGCATGCGCTGGGATGGGCTGCGGGCGCTGCTCTGTCCACCTCTGGCTTGTGCAGACCAGATGTCCCCACGTACCCCGTCTGTTCTTTACCCTAGCCCCTTGTGCCCTGCTGACCCCCGACCTTCTCGAAGGGTGACATGGCGGTGGCGAGCTGTATGGGAGCCCCGCCCTCCCCGACACCTTCTCCATGCCACCCAAGGGCCCCCTTGTGAGGCCCTTCTCCACTGTGCTCTCCCCTCCCCCACCAGAACGCAACCTGAACCCCAAAGCAGCCTGCCTGAAACGCCGAGAGGAAGAGAAGGTGTCTGGTGTGGTCGGGGACCCCCAGATGGTGCTGTCGGCCGCCCACCCGGGCCTGAGTGAGGCCCACAACCCCGCTGGACACATGTGAGGTACGGGCAAGTGGCTGTCCTCGGGATGGCCACACAGCGCCCCTCAGCAGCCTCCCCTGCAGGTCCCGGCCGTGATGCGCCGGGAGGCCGAGGACCCAGAACACATCTCAGCCCCCGGCACCCCAACCCTGGGGCCAAAAGGAGCATTTTTTTTTTTTTTTAATAAAAAAAAAAAAAAAAAAAAGGAAGGGTGTGCCAGAAAATACACACTCTGTCCAAGAAGAAGAAAAAAAAATGCCTTAAGTATCCCGCACAGAGTGGGAGCCTACCACGGAGCGGAGGGAGACGCGGTGCGGGCCCGGCTCGTTCTTTGACAGCCACCAGCAAATTGTGCCTAAGCATAATATTTTTTTTTTTTTTAAGGAAAATAAAAAAAAAGAATGTTAGGTATGAGATTTTTTTTTTTTTTTAATGTAGAAGAAACTTAGTAAGGCTGCCGCCTTTGGTCCTTTTTTTTTCCCCAAGCTTTTTTTTTTTTTTTTTTGCATATGTTTTGTAAGCAAGAAATGTTTTTGTATACAAGTCTCATGTCTCTTGCTATTTTGCTGCTGTTTCTAGAGCCGAGCGGTGCACTCCCATCAGCCGGGTAGTAAACGTATGAACGCGGCCTATTGTCGCCTGCACCCCTGCTGGCCCCCCGGCCCCAGAAGCCCCTGGCATGGAGCAGAGCCAGGTGTCTGCTGGTCTCATGTTTGGCTTGGGAGGTGTGAGGGGCTTCCTGTCTTGGTTTGACTGGCTTTGAGAAATGGACAGGGCCTTCCAACAGGTATGGCCCCCTCTGGGCCTCCTGCCCACCCCTGGAGAAGGGACTGCATTGGTGAAGGGCAGCCGCCATCCTCAGAAGATACCCTGGGAACATACCCCCCCCTAAGAAATGCCTTCCTTGAGCTCCAGAGACCCTTCTGCCACCTGTGCCCTGCTCCCCCTCAGGCTTACAAGATGCCCCTCTACTCCCAGTCCTTGTGCCCTTTGGGGCTACAGAGCCTTCCAGAACTTGGACTCCACGGGTACTGATATTCCCTAGTCTTTGAGGCCCAGATGTGTCCCCAGACACCCACGCTGCCATCCCTTTGGCCCCAGACACAGCACCCTCTGCGGGTCCTGTGTCCATGCTGAATGGACAGGGCTGCGCCACCCATGCCACAGGGAGACCCTTACCCCATCCAGCTGTGGCCCGTCTGACCCTTTAACCAGAGCCTAAAACCAAAGCCACTGCTGTCAAGTCCTGCCTACTACAGCCCCCAAGTGTCGCGTGGAACCGAGCTCCCTAGGGCTTCCCTGGATGTTATGCGTGTGGCAGAGCCCTCAGGTTAAGCTCAGCTACCAGCTGGAAGGGGCTCAGTGTGAACCTGCCCGGGGCTGCCTCAAAGGACAGGCGTGGCACGCTGCTTCTGCAGGGTCACAGCCTTGAACTCCAGCAGCTTTACCCTGGCACACGCAGGTTTGCCTCAGGCCATTGCCACCCCCAGCCCAGTGGTGGCAACAGCAGCAGTCATGACAGAAACAGATGTAAGTTAGCCGACACTGGTGCTGATGCCGCCAGTGAGCCTGCTGACGACCGACCGTCCGAACCACAGGGCGGGGTGCCTGCAGCCCCAGCCCGCCTGCACCCAGCCTCAAGAACCCATGCCCCTCCCAGGTGACACGAGGGTGGCCATTGTCTAGTTTACAGCTGAAAGCCCCCCGGGGGTGGGGTGAGCTTCCCTTCACCCACCTCTAGAGGCCTCATGGAACTCCAGGCTGGCTGTGGCCCCCACCCCTACAGCACTGAGATTCCCCCTCATCCCATCCAACCAGCCCGCCTGACTGCCCCTCCTCCACCAGAATTCCCCAAGGTTGGAGCCAGGCACCTATGGGGAGTTCAAGGTCAATGAGCCGAAGATGAGCCTCAGATTTCCTGGGTCCTCCCCATGCAGTGGCCCTGGGGCCACCCCCAGGTCAGATCAGGGAACCGTCCTTTCTAGGTGAGTCCTCTGCTGTCAGTTTTCTCTGCTTTTGGTGGGGCTCCAACAGAGTCCCCTGTCTCGGTTTCTCTCTGTGACTTCTGGTGCTGCTGTAACTCCAGCAGGCAGGGGCTGAGGCCCCTCTGTGGTCCCCATGGACTTGGAACTGTGTGTAACCTCCATTGTCTGGGGGCACAGTGGTTATGTGCTGGCTGCTGACCAGATGGCAGCAGTTCAGGCCCCGCCAGCAGCTCCACAAGAGAAAGGCCTGGCAGTTGACTCCCATGAGCCAAGGAGCCCTTTTGAGTCAGTCGACTGCCAGCGTTCAACAGCTGTGTACAGATGCGTATAGACAAGTGATGAGTAAGATGAGACTAACCCAGCCCGAGTATCGCACTATCGCACTGAGGGTGTGCCTCAGGATAAGCTTAAAAAATAATTCTGTTAAAAATATTTTTATATTCTGTATCAAAACAGCTAGCTGGCTGGGTTATAATAGTGCTGTACTAGTGACGGCCTATGACCATACTCTGTTTCTCAAAGCCTTTCAGCTTTATGTCGGGAGTGCAGGGGGCACACAGCGTAGGAGATGGCAGGACAGGCAGAATGCTGCCCAGACCCTCTACAACCAACTAGAAGGAAACAGTGAATAAGGAGACAAATGGAGCTGTGGACCATCACCTGGCCTCACAGCACAGCCATTTTGAATAACTGCAAAACATGTTTTAACCAGGACCAAAAATAAATCAAATAAACCCACTGCCGTCAAGCTGATTCCAACTCATAGCAACCCTTCACTGGGTTTCCAAGGCAGTAAATCTTTACAGAAATAGGTTGCCCAGTCTTGCTTCGGTGGAGTGGCTGGTGGGTTTGAACCACCAACCTGGTTAGCAGTCAGATGCTTAGGCACTATGCTACCAGAGTTCCTAATTAGGACAGCAACTGCTAATTGACTCCACTTGCTGAGGACTGCATGGCAACCACCCTGGTGGCTGGCAACCAGAAAGCCATTGTGCTCACACCCAACCATATCCACACGTCCTATAGTCCCACCCACTGGGCAAAGGCCACCAGCAAGTTCTGCACGAGGATCAGCGATAAATGGTGGCCAGTACCAGCCCAGCCTGCCCTCAGCTGCTCCACATGAACAGCTAACAGCTGTGTGCACACGTTCGCATCCTCTGTCACGCCCACCAGGACACATGGTGAGTGCCTAAGTGCTGTCAAGCTAGGGAACAGAGTAGTGTACTAGCTCTGCTCCCTTGGGTACATCAACATAAAGCACACACACACACACACACACACACAAAAAAAAACACCTGGGCACATCACACCTATATGCAATTACCAGTTAAATACAAACAATATTGCAGTGTCTCAGAGACAAGTGGTGATCCCACTCCACACAAAGAAGCAAGATAAAGTTGACAAAAGAACCAGGACAGAGAGCCAGGAAGTGTCCCCAAGGAATAACTGGTATTGGAACTACTTGATATGGGATCCAAAACAATTACATTTAGGTACCTGCAGCACATTGAGAGACAGGTCAAGGAAAATACAAAATTATAGAAGAATTTAGGGAAACAATACAAGAACAAACTGACAAAATAAGTGGAAAAATTAGAAAATAAAAACAGCAAAGAGAAACCCAGACTAATAGTAAGATTTCAGACACAGTTTACCACTGAAAGGGCAAAGAAGTAGAATTACATCAATGGATGACAGAATTAGAGAAAATTTATCAATACTACTTTGTTAAGGGAAGCATCAGGAAGGAAAGAAAAGAAAGCCTCAGATTTATGTGGGACACTGGTAGTTAAAGCTGGGTGTCAACCTGCTGGCTAGCCTGTGGTTTTCAGTGGTTGGCAAGCTGGATATCCTTATTCCCGTGATGAGATTGTAAACACCTCCATGGAGGAATCTGCTGTGAGCAGCTAAGCCTCCAGCTTCTTGGTACATCTGGACCCTCCATTTGCCCACATACTCATCTCCAGTTCCTGGACTTGAACCAGTGGCCTGCTGTGTTGTCTGCTCATTTTAGGACTGTACCATTTTACTTGTGGACCTTGGGTTCATCAGCCTCAATAGCCAGCAACTGCCTAACTTAGGAGATGCCTGTAGCTCCAGTGGGCCTAGAACAAGAGGCAAAGCTGAAGCCCAAGGTAGAGGGGCCTTCACCTAGTCTGAATGTGGACTTCTAGCCTCCTGATCTGTAAGAGAATAAGTTCCTGTTTGTTAAAGCCATCCACTTGTGGTATTTCTGTTATAGCAGCACTAGGAAACCAAGACAGACATTATCAAGAGGAATAACCTACATGTGATTGGAATTCTAGAACTGCAAGAGACAAAACCACAGAGAAAATTGTTGAAGATTTGTTGGAAGAGAACTTCCCTACTATGAAAGATGAGAAGATAGGCATTCAAAAAGTTTAACAAACCCCAAACAGGATAGACCCCAAAAGAAAATCCCTAAGACATATTAAAAAAAAAAAAAAAAAAACCTGTCAACCAAGAATTATATACCCAGCAAAACTGTCCTTCAAATATGATGGTGAAATTAGGACATTTCCAGGGAAACAAATCAAGGGAATTTGTATAAACCAGACCAACCTTACAAAAGATGCCAAAGGGAGTCCTTCAGACAGAGAACCAACAACAGCAGACAACAACTGATGGTAAACACATATTTTGACTTCACCCAGAAACTACCACAGTTATAGAAGTATCCAAAGTAAAATAAACTTACAAGACAGAAAACGGAACCAGAGACATCAATTTGAAAACGAAGACAAGTACAATGCAAAAAGAGGGACCAAACAGTGTAGTTACAGAGCTTCTTAATGGAGAAAAAGTTGAGATAGAACCGTCTTTCAAACTTGGGAAGAAAATAATAAATCCCAGAAGTTTCAAAGAAAAGTAATAAACATCAAATTAAGAGAAATGTTACAAATAATTGAGCAAATACTAAAACAATAGTAACAAAAAACAAGCCAACCAAATTCACTGCCATCAAGTCAATTCCTTGGGTTTCTGAGGCAGTATCACTACGGAAGCAGGATTGCCCAACCTTCCTTCCGAGAAGTGGCTGGTGGGTTTGAACCGCCAGCCTTCTGGTGAGCAGTCAAGTGCCTTAGACATTATGCTACTAGAGCTCCTTAGCTCATAGTGACCCCCATAGGGTTTCCAAGACTGTCAATCTTTATGGAAGCAGACTGCCTCATCTTTCTCCTGTGGAGTGACTAGTGATTTGTACCACTGACTTTTTGGTGCCTTAACCACTCTGCCACCAGAACACCTTAATAGCAACAAAGGGAAATCATGCATTCATTAGATGAGCTCAGCGGGGAAGGAGAGGGGTTTTGCCTTGGACTGTTAAGTCTGTCGGAAGGGAGGAGTTTGTTATGTGTGCATGTGTGTGTGTTTCCCGCTGAACATGAGACTTGGAAGGTTCTAGTGGTCTGTGCGGCCCCACCCAGCAGCTACTCCAGGACCCCTGGGCTCAGAGGTGATTTGTAGCTGCTGTCACAAGGTATCACACACCTGGCTGAAAACAATGGAATTGATCCTGTGGAGACCAGGAGTCTGAAATCAAGGTGCTAGCAGGACCACAGTCCCTCTGGAGGCTGTAGGGAGGGTCCTTGTGTCTTCAGCTTCAGGGGCTCCAGGCGTTCCTGGGCTTGTGTCTGCATCACTCGTCTCTGCCTCTGTCTTCACATGCTGTTCTCCCAGGTGTCTCTGTTCCGATCTCCCTGTTACAAGGAAACCAGGGCAGTGACGGCCCAGTGGTGGAGTCCCCTCCTTTGGTGACAGTGCCTTTCCTGTGCAGCCACCATCAGTCAACGAGGGCTTGTGTGATGCTGAACAGGTTTCAGTGGAGCTTCCAGATTCAAGAGACTAGGAAGAAAGTCCTGGTGATCAGCTTCTGAAAACCAGCCAGTGAGAGCCCTGTGGATCCCAGTAGTCCAGTTTACCATTGATCAGGCTGCAATCTGCCCCTTGTCCACCTATGGTATGAAAAGCCTCTGGAAATGAGGTTTCTCGGGGATGGGAAGAACATTACCCTTTTAATGGATGTGCTCAATTTCACCTCAACAAAGTGAGACTAACTTACTCCTCACCCTGTCTCTAGAGCTTCATGGTCTTTGCAGTTTTCTCCAACACCATCAGCTGGACCGTGCATCTTACGTGACCTACTGGGGGGTACCGCTTCCCTTCACAGATCTGAAACGCTGTGTAGGTCATAGTCAAGGTTACTGCAGCCTCCAGACTTTCTGTGCTGTTTGGTGTTTCTATCCATCTTGCTCTTCCAAGTCCTTCATTAATTCCAGAAAATTTAGAGCAGCTTTTAGGAGCCTGGGTGGTGCAACAGTGAAGTGTTTAGCAGCTAACCTAAAGGCTGGCGGCTCGGACCCACCCAGAGGCCCATGGGACAAAGACCTGGCAGTCTGCTCCTGTGAGGGTTACAGGCTGGGAATCGACCCTGTGGCCCCCAACAACAACAGAACAACTTTCAAATGTGGTCAGATGCCCTTCCTCACCTGACTTTTCTTCAGAATTTTATTGGCGACTCTTGCCTATCTATCCTTCCAGATGATCTTTAAGCTCCCCCCACATACCTTCTTGGCGTTTCTATTGGCATTGCGCGTGACTCAAGGGGCACTGACGCGATGACTGCATCGATCTATGGGACAGGGATGAAGGGGGTTCCGGCTGAAGGTGGTGGGGACAACCCAGCCTAGCAGCAGCGCTGTGGATTTCCCCTTCACTGAACTCGTTCTGTCCATCAGTCAATTTCACAACCCCGTGGGGGAGCGGTGCAGCTCGCCTAACGGAGCACAGCGAATCTGACAACTCCTGACTCTCCAAAAGCGAGTTCAAATCCCAACCCGTCCCGGCTGTTACTTGGGGCAAGTCCCATCGCCTTCCGGCCTGCGTGTCCTCAACTGTAAAGTAAGCATAATGACGTTTGCAGAGTAATCACCACAAAGTCACCAGTCAAATGTTCTCACTAATACTGAGAAGAGGGCAACGCGGCGGCCACTCGAACGCCAGGAGACAGGACATAAGGATCACGTGGCCAGGAAATCACGCCCACAACAGGTCTTCCGATCTTGCCCGAGAGTGACCGACAAGGTCTTCCGGGTCTGCGCGCGCAGCGGCAGACACTGGCGTGTGTGTGAGGCGTGGCGTGGAGTCTCCCTGTGCGCCTGTGCGCTGCGGTCGCGCCTGCGCACTGCGTCTGAGCTGCGCTGCACCGGGGTGACCCTGAGCGCTACAGACGGCGCAGCGATGCTGACCAGGTTCCTGGGCCCGCGTTACCGGCAGCTAGCGAAGAACTGGTGAGGGGGCAGCCCTGCGAGTCCCACCCCGCACTCCTGCCCTTATTCTGTTCCCTCCGGCTCCGCTGCCACTCTGTCCCCCTTAGTCCAAGGGCCCGCCGTTCCCCTGACGATGGGGAAACTGAGGCCCAGAGAGAGAAAGCAGTATGTGGTGGCCAGCCATGGACCCTCCGCATCCTCGTCCTCCGCGTCCAGGTGCGGGTGAGCCCCCGCAACTTCACGTTCTCCATCTCTACCTGGGGACCGTCCTGGCGCCCACCGAACCCCTCGGCCACTCCGTGTTGCGACTCCTGGCCCAGTGCTCAAGCCAGCCGCGCTCAGCCCAGATACTTGGGCCTCAGAACCAAACCTGCACATATCTGGCTTTTTCACAAACTTTAAAAAATGATTTTTAACAAGGAGTGTGAAGCCTCCAGCTGCCCTGATTTCACGTGGAAGGCGGGATGGGATTGGGGTCACGACCCTCACCATGACTCAATATGGGAGCCAGGGCTAGGGTAACCCTGCGTGGCAGCCGGGGTTGGGGCGTCTTTGACAGGGGCTTTGTCTGATTTCCAGCGGGGGTGGGGGGGGTGCCTGTGCCAGGAGACACTTCCTGGCCGTAGATGGGAATAGAAAAGTTAGGACACCTCTGGACAGTAGAGCTGGCAGGCACCGTCAAGATGGACCCTGATGGTGGCATTTCATGGCTGACCCTGTCACCCTGAGACCAAAGCAGGTGATGTGACTTCTCAGTGGGCTGGGTGCTCCCAGGAATGATCAGCCCGTTCCCATCTCCCACCTGGGCTTTCATTCGCCCAACAAGCACTTAACTGAGCACCTGCTGTGTCCCAAGCCTTGTGTTGAATGCTCAGGACACAACAGTGAACAAGCTACTCGGCCCTGGCCTCCTGACATCCTGGACGAGGGAGGGCAGCTCACAGGCAGCCCATGAGATCTGTGGGCGAGACCCACGGAGAGACCATTAAGGGGAGGACAGGGACCTGAGGGAGGGTCTACGCAGCTGTGTCCCACCAGCCTTTGGCTCCTGGAGGCCAGCAAGCATGTTACACCCTCAAGAGGTGCTGTGGGGTTCAAGGGAGCCCCTGCTCACAGCTGGGGACCCATTGCCCCAGGTCTGGTTGTCTTCTCTTGAGAAATGGAAGAAAAGTTTGTCAAAGTGTTTTGGAAGTACAGAATACAACTCACTCAGGACCCGTCTATGTGATTATAAGTCCCCAAAGAGGATGCCAGGGTGATGGGAGCATGAGAGGCTGGTCACCTGGAGACAATAGGGTCCCCTGCTGACTTAGTAACCCCAGAGCTGTTGAGAGTTGCAGGAGGAAGGACTCTTGTCAGCGACCCTCCCCCAGTAACTGTGACCAGCTCAGCCCAAAGGGGAGCCAGGCCGGGCCAGGCTGGGGAGTGTGGCGGGTGAGGTACCTTGGGGCAGCTCCAGCCAGCTGATGGCCTGGTTTTAAATTCCAGTATTGTCTGCGTCATGTCAGCTTGCAGAATTGTACAGATGAGTGGATGGTGGTCATGGCACCAGGCAGGGGCCAGACACCTGGTGGGTGCTCCATCAACAGCGGCTAGGGGTGGGCAGGCACCCAGAGGAGGGTGGGAGAAGCCTCCCAGAGGCCACATCCCAGGTGGGGTCTGATCCCAGCTCTTCTCGCTCTCAGGCTGCCCACAGCGGGCATGTGGGGCGCTGTGGGTTCCGTGGGGCTGGTGTGGGCCACAGACTGGCGGCTGATCCTGGACTGGGTGCCCTACATCAATGGCAAATTTAAGAAGGACGATTGACAGGCTGCTCTCCGCAGTTTCCTTTGGTAAGTTCCTGTGGCCACAGCGGGTGAGCTGTGGGACTCCCTGAGGGTGGAGGCATGGGTTTTCCTGAGGCTGGGTTCTTGGTGCTTCCAAAGCTGGGGGTCTGGGGGGTCACGGGGGAAGATCAGGGGCAGCTCCACCTTGGAGAATCTGTGTGAGGGCTGAGCTCTGGGGTGGGCTTTGCAGGCATCTTCCAGCCCCATTGCCACTGAGTGGCCACCTGACTGCCTTGGTCAGTGGAGTTGGGGAATGAGCACTCTGTCCATCTGTGGAGGCTGTTTGCCCATCTCACCATCTCAGCCTGCGTCCAAGCCCCGGGCACGATAGAGGCCAGCCCCATTTGACAGCGAAAGTTGAGGTTGAGCCCTGGGATGGGTTGCTGTGAGCAGTAATGAGACCTTGGACTGACTGACTGTGTTTTTGGTGAAATGACTACATAGCCCAGCACACACCCATTCCTGTTTCTACATGTGCAACTCAGTGACATTCGTCACATCACGTCACCGTTCTCGCTTACTCTCCCACATTGTTTCACCACAGTTGGCTTAGACTCACTGCCTCCTAAACTCCTCGTCTATGCTGTAGAGTTACTGTTGACAGTGGCTCTCACGTCGTGAACTCTTTAAAGAGTACAGTGGCCATGGAGAACATTCTCTACTAATGCAGCTCAACAGGTATTTAGTTTAAAAATGACTTCAGGAGACAGGTTTGGTTCCTGGTCCGAATACTTTCTCAGTGATGTATTTGAGTTCCTCCAGGCTCAGCAGGGGCTCTGGTGACACAGTGGTTAAAGCAGTCGGCTGCTAACCAAGATGTGTAGTTGGAACCCACCAGCCCCTCCGTGGGAGAAGGATGAGGTAGTCTGCTTCCACAAAGATATACAGCCTGGAAACACTACAGGGCGGTTCTGCTCTGTCCTAAGGCTCACTATGAATGGGGGTCAACTCGGTGCCAGTGGGTTTGGGTGTGTTTTTTTCTAGTCTCAATCAGTCTAGTAAGTGGATTCTGTAAGACGTTGAAATTCTGTTCCATATTTTTTTCCTTTTGACGAAGGTTCATCATTCACTTCATCATTCATTCCTTGATCAAAATGTTCAGTAATGGTAGCCGGGCACCATCCAGTCCTTCTGTTCATGGCTAAGGAGGCAGGAGTTGGCAGAGGTCTCACGCCTGGCAGTGGTTAGACCTGCGGTGCAGGTGCCTCCCCAGTGCCCGGGTCTCCCTCATCTGGACCAATGGAGCTGCCCACAGCTCTGGGTGCGGTTTCAAAGCACATCGCCGCCTGGCTCAGGGTCTGTTCTCCGTATCCCTCCTCTCTGCTCCCTGCCTCCTTTCTCAAGAACTGCGAGCTTGGACTCTGCCACCATTCTGGTGTCTGTGGCGGGCTGGAGTCCCCGGGACACTCTGCCCTCGTTACAAGCCAGCGTCATGTGGCAGGGATATTTCTCTCACGTGGCCTTGTTCCCCTCCCAGGTATCCGGTGCTGCAGGCTCCTCCCATCTCAGTACCTGCAGCTGTGGAACAGCCGAGGCCCTCAGGATGGACGTTGAGGAAACCCACAGCAGGACTTAAGACATTTTATGTTCTGAAAATGGCTCTGATGTGTGAATGCACACGGCATTAAAGCACACTCTGAAACCCGCCCTCTGCCTGCGTGTGCCTCCTGCTGCTGACGCTGGGACCTGGGAGCCCGGTCAGCTCCAGAGTTCTGTGAGTCAAGGAGCGTGACTTGCAGACATTAATTATTTAAGATGTTTTCATTTATCTGTTGCTGCATTCAAAAAGGACGGGGAGGCAGCATCTTCTGACCTCGTCTAACTTCACAAGAGGAAGACAATCACCATCGGCAGCCCAAGGCTAATTCCTATAAGGCCAGACGTGCCGCCACCCTCCAGCCTTTTACCAATTCTGCACCAACCATTCCTCCCACAGCACTCCCTACTTCTCTGCTGGGTTTGATAATTCGTTGCAATGGCCACACACAACTCACAGACAGTACTCACAATTATGGGGTTTATTAGGGAACAATGCAGGTTATGTTACCTACAATGTTACAATTGCAGCAGGTTATAATTCACGTTCAGGAACACACTCAGGGTACAACTCTTTGATCAGGACAGTCTCCCCTTTGCTGTCCCCTCAGACACCTTTCTGGCCCTTGGGCTCTTGGCCTGGCCTGCCTCTGCCCTGCTCAGGCAAGGGGTACAAAGCTCTTTTTGCTCTGCCGATAGGTACACCTGCGTGCACCCCTCTGTGCCAGCAAGACTCGTGCCCAAGGGTGCTTGGCTCTATCACTCTGGACCGGAAAGCCTGCCAGTCTGTCTCGGGTCTCTGTTACTCTGCAGGTCATCTCTGCCAAGGAGGTCTGGTGCAGGGATCCCTGGTCCAAGGACACGCTCCACTTTACTTCCAGCTCTTCTGTCTTGATGACAGTGAGAGCCTCCCTCTGCCTCTAGGAGCACTCGTTTTAAGCCTGGCAGAGTGACAAAACTAACCAATCGCAACATCAGTTCTACACACCTTATCTGCATGGCCCCACCTAGTAATCTGGTGGGAGTCACAAAGACTAAGAAAAGCCATACCTAGTAATTCATTGCACTACAATGCATTAACAACTTACCCCTTAATTTAGTGGCTTAAAACAACAAAGTTCATCTCTCATAGATTCTGTGGGTCAGGAACCTGGGAATGGCTGAGCTGGGTGGTGGTGGTGCCTGTCAAATGGCAGGTGGGGCAATATCTGAAGGCTTGGCCATGGCTGGAGAAGCTGCTTCCTCCATGGTCCCCTCACGTGGCTCTTGGTTGGAGGCTCAGTTCCTTACAAGCTGGACCCCCCACCCTGCTGCTTGAGCCACTCACAACACGGCGTGTGACCCAAGAGAGCAAGGCGGAAGCCCCAGTACCTTTTATGATCCCAGAAGCCACGCACCATTTTCCCCACATTCTGCTCATTAAAAACACTCAAAGGGAAGTGAATTAGGCTCTACGTTTTGAAGGGAGGAGTATCAAAGAATTCGTACATATTTTAAACCTTCCCATGAAAGGTACAAAAATGAACAGGTAAAATGGGTGCCCTGGCCCAGTTCTCTCCAACTCTAGTCAAGTTTTTAGAAATTCTTCAAGAGACATTCTATGCATATAGAAGCATGTTTATGGACAACAGATTCTAGTTTTTAACCCAGAGAGTGGCACTTGCTATACACTGTTCTAACCTCCCCTTTTCACTGAAGACTGGTTTCTGGGGGTCCTTGTACTTCAGTAAACGCAAAGCTTCCTCATCTTCTCAGTGGCTGCCTGCTGACCTGGGGCCAGACCAGCAGTGTGAATTGTCTGTTAGTGAAGGACATTTGTTCACTTCTGTGTGCTGTCACACAGACACCCCTGTGTAAGGATAATGTATCTGTCAGGTAAATATGGATATTTGGAATTGTAAAATAAGTAGATTACCTGAAGAAATACAAAGAAAAAGCTGTAATACGCAGCAGTCGCCAGTCATGCAGAACCCTGTGGGCACCTCAGCAAGGTTCCTGCCGTCAGCATTTGCCAGTTGATTCCTTCTGGCCCTCTCCCCTTGGTTGCCAGGACAGTGCCCAACCAGGTTAAGGCGTGAAGCAAAAAGAGGAACTACTGTCTATTTTTTTTTTTTTTAAATGGTTTTAGTGACATTGTTTTAGCTGACTTTGCTTCCGTTAAACCCAGAAAACTACAATTGGAATAAATTAATTTCTGGGTACAAATAGAATATTTAAACAAAACAATGAGTTCTAGTGTACCTGGTTTTCAATATTTCAGTACTGTTTTGATAACTTTAATGTTCTGGGGGGAAAAATTAGCCCCTGATAAAGAGTATCTGAAGCTGTGTTGCAGTGTGATTGGTTTCATATGGCCCTTCTTGCCTTGGTCTTGTAACTCACATGTCTGGGTGGAAATACGCAAATAAAGTGCTCCTGGTCCACCCAGGGTATTGGACAGCTTGCTAATGATGCAGATGAGGTGCATGGAACCCTAGCGAGGGGATTGGTCAGTTTTGCCATTCCACTAGGCTTAAAATGGGGTAGGCCAGAGGTGGAAAAGGGGAACCATTACCACCAAGAAGAGCCAGGAGCGTCCCTGCACCAAGAACCTCCTGGACGCAGGAGACAGCGTAATATCACAGAGAGAGGCAGCAGATGGCACGGTGGGCTCCCGCCACTCAGAGCAGGAAAGCCGAGAGCCTGCAGGACGGTTGCTGGCAGAAGTGGGGTGCCTCCAGGCACTTGTCCATGGAGCTAAAGAGCTCTGTAACTCTTGCCCAAGAAGGCAGAGCCTGGGCCGGTCCAAGAGGCCCAAGGGGCCGATGGCCAGAGAAAGGCCTGCCTGCAGGCCCAGCAGAGAAGGGGCTGTCCTGACCAGAGCTCAGTATCCTCAGTTGCTCCTGATCCTGAATTATGACCTGTTACTTCCCAAATAAATCCCATAATAGTATCATAGTATCGTCTGAGTTCTGTGTGATCATTGCAACAGATTATTGAAGGCAGGGGAGAAACAGTGCCGTGGGAAGGACAGTTGGTGTCAGAATTGGAGGTCTGGAGGGTGGGAGGGTGTTTACTGGAACCAGCCGTGAGCGGGTGCTGCGGAAGATGATTCTCCCTCCTGAAGTTAGAGGCAGGCCGCCCCGCCCCAGCCATTGCTATAAGGTACACATACAGTGACACACCGTCTCCTTTGCCCTGGCACAGTGTGGCTTAGCTCAGCATGGCAGCTACTGTCTTATTTTGATTTGAAATGTGGGTGTTTTGTGTGTTTAATTTTTATTGTGATTTGAGTGAAAGTTTACAGAGCACATTCATTTTCCATACAGCAGTTGATACATTTTGCTTCATGACTTTGACTTCACTTCCCCACAGCCTAACAGCTCTCTTCCCACTTCCTCCCTGTGGTTACCTCTTCCCTGTGTCCTCCCCTGCCATGCACTCCCTCCCCCCAAGCTATTTCCCTGGGCAAACACGCCCTTCTGTTCTCCCACTGTCAGTCCAGCTTGCTGAGGGCCTTCCCCTTCTTCACTGACCCTCCACTTTAAGAAGCATGATACCTTTCTCCAGGGACTGGTCCCTTCTGACAACATGAGCAAAGTAGGTGAGACGAAGTCTGGCCATTCTCTCTTCCAAGGAGTGGCTGCACTTCTTCCAGGACAGATGTGTTAGTTTTTCTGGCAGTCCATGGTGCTTTCAGTATTCTTCACCAGCACCACAGTTCAAAGGCCTCAACTGTTTTCAGTGTTCCTTATTCACTGTCCAACTTTCACATGCACTCAGGCAACTGAAAATACCATCTTTGGTTTCTATATATTTGCTTATTTTGTGTATCTAAGATCATCTGTATTTTTGCAACTGACATATTTCATTCACCATGTTTTCAAGGTTTATCCATGAAAACCAAGATTTTTTTTTTTTTTTTAATTGATTTGGGTAAAAGTTTACAGAGCAAATTCATGTTCCATACAGCAGTTCACATTTACTTTGTTTCATGACATTGACTATAATCTCCCACAGTACAACAGCTCCCCTCCCACTTCCTCCCCATAGTCACCTCTTCCCTGTGTCCATCCCTCCAGGCACTCCTGCCCCCAGAGCTGTCTCCCTCCTTGTGCATAAACAGCCCTTCTTTCTCCCTTGATTGTTCTCTTCAAGGAGTGTATCTACCTAATGCAAATGTTCAGCTCATGTGCATGTCTGTTTGGCTGCAAGCCACAGGAGTGGGTTCAATTCCAGACCTGAAGGGCAGCTGGGGCCATAGTCTCAGTGGTTCTATCAGGCTCTATCAAACCAGCTAACCTGCCCCCCCCTTTTTTTTGTTAATGATTTTGAGTTTTGTTCTACATTGTTCTCCCACTCTATGCAGGATCTCCTATATAGATCCCCCTCCGAGTGGTTGACAGTGGTAGCCGGGCACCATCTAGTGAAAAGCAAGATTTTTAACAATCATGATGCCATTCTCTCACCAAACAAAACCAAATTTCCCCAGATGTCTAAAAAACCTTTCACAGTCGGCTTGTTCACATCGCTCCAACTGAAGCATTTAATAGTCTTGATCTAGAACCGAGGCATGTAGAGTCTGTCTCCCTCCTCCTTGCCCCCTGCCACGGACTTGTGCAAGAAGCCGAGCCATTGGTGTGTAGCTCCCCACATTCAGCGTGTGCCAACTACACCCTTGCGTTGTCATTTAACACGTTCTGTCAAGATTGGGCAATTTACTTCTGTAGAGATAGTACTGCCTCAGAAACCCCAGGAGGGGTCGCTATGAGTTGGGACAGACTCCCCGGCAGAGTTTGTTTTTTTGGTTTGGTCATACCCCCAGGGGGGCAGGTGAAGGCAACTTGCGATGGACAAGAGCGCAATCGCGGGTGGGCGCGGGGCGGAGCGGCACACCGCTGGAGGCCACGCCTCCGCCACGCGCACAGAGTTCTTGACCGCCAGGGCGTCCGCTCAGACATTGGGATGGATCCGGCAGCCGAGAGCCAGTCCCCTCCAGCGAGTTGATTGGCTCAGCCGCCGGGAGCCACGCGCGAATCGGACAGCCGAAGGTAACGCCCCTCCCACGCGCTCATTGGCTTTGTCACAGCGGCGCGCGCTAGGATGCTTAGGGGCAGTCCCAGCAATCTAAATCCACGCCCTCCGCGCGTGCTGATTGGCGTGGCCGCAGTAGCCCGCGCTAGGACACTGGGAGGCGGGCCTATAAACCCAAAACCACGCTCCTCCCGCGCGTTGATTGGCTTGGCCGTAGCAGGCCTCGATGGGCCATCAGGAGGCGGGTCAGCGGACCATGGCCACGCCCTTCCCATGCGCTGATTGGCGCAGGGGCCGCGGCGCGCGCTCAGATGCCTGGGGGTGTGCCTGGCAGCCCAGGGCAACATCCCTCCCGCGCTGATTGGGTTGGTCACACCGGCGCGCGCTCGGACACAAGGAGGCGGACTCGACAGCCGGG